GTGCTCAGGGGTTACTCTGGGCTCTGCACTCAGGAATTACTCCTGGCAGTGTTCAGGGTACCCTATAGGGTAACAAGGATCGAATCCAGGTGGGTTACATATAAGGCAAGTGTCTTACCCATTGTACTATCCTTTCCAGCCCCTTATTCAAAACAACTCTTGTATTTATTTACTTCCACAATATATAAGAATCTAATTTGTTTTTCCCCAAAATATGGAATTCCACATTTAGTGAAATTTATTTCTAATATTGCCAAACATTTTATATTTCATAGTTTATATACATTACTGAAATTAGTACAATATTCATAGTTACTCAAGTTGATTAAATTCCTTATAAACTACTGCTATGTCAGAGAAAGGGAGAGTTCCCCAGCATTTGTGGAGTTCTATGAGAAATGGATACTAAGGTACAAAAGGGTGGGAGGGTAGAAGAGTTAAATAGCTGTCACATGGGATCAGTCTGACATGACTGTGGTGTGAACTAGAGTAGTATTGTTTTTGGTGGTGGTGGTTGAAGGAGAGAAGAAAAACTGATTTATGATATATTTAATATATACGTATAACCATTCTGACTGATAGATTTGGAGTTTGAATATAATATAATTTATAAACTTTTAGATTTCAAGGAACTTCTATGTTTCTGGATGTGTTAACTAGACAGATTAAAATGCTATTCATGAATGTATGGAAGAAAAGAACAGAAAATTTAGGGGAAAGTAGACTTGGGTTTGGTTTAAGGCTGATGGTTTGAAGTATACATGAATAATCCCAAATGAAATATCAGGCAGGTAGTTAGACACACGTGCCTGGAAATCAGATAAATATGGTCTGTGCTTGAAATACAAACACAGGAATTGTAGATATTTGACTGTTAATGCCATAAAGTAAATTCAAGTCTGGTGTGAAGCTGTAGAATGAAGGGTAAATTCTAAGAAAATAAAGAGATCATATCAAAAGAGACTGAAAAGGCATGATTGTAGTTAGAAAGCACTGGAAAGATTTTAATCAATTAGACAAAGCAGATGCTATAAGAGCACTGTAGCACTATCCTCCTGTTGTTCATCGATTTTCTCGAGCGGGCACCAGTAACGTCTCCATTGTGAGACTTACTGTTACTTTTATTTTTTGGTTTTTTTTGCATAACGAGTATGCCATGGGGAGCTTGCCAGGCTTTGCTCTGTGGGCAGAATACTCTCCGTAGCTTGCTGGGATCTCCAAGAGGGGCAGAGGAATCAAACACAGATTGGCCTTGAGCGAAGCAAACGCTCTACCCATTATGTTATTGCTCTGGTCCAGATGCTATAAGTATAAAGGATTATAAGTGTAAACAGAAGTCTCCTAGGAGCTTTTGATGTTTATGGGCATGGACAATAGCTTTATTTCTGAGTAGTACCTAAGTATCAGAACATTAGATGAAACAGATAAAGAGTAGAGTTACTGAAGCAATAATGTGACAGGTAGCCTCCCAAGAAAAGCAGAATCTTATTAATCCCAACAGTAATTCTTATTGAGGAAACTAAAGTCAGAAAAGTAAGACAAGATATATGATCAAGCTTATACAATTGTGTGAGAATACAGAAATAGACTTCAATACCCAATTTTCAAAACCCTGTATTGAAATTCTATGTTGAAGTTTTATTGTTTTCTTTTAAATATAAAATGTTGCTTTCTAAGCAGGAAAGTAAGGTAACTTTAAAAGTAACTTTTGAAACATTTTTTTAAAGGAGAAGTATCCATAGTCTTTTAAAAAAAATTTAAAGGGGTTTCATACAGAGATGCTTGGGTAGCCATGCCATTCAAAGTATTGAATTTAGGGCTTCAAATATGTTAGGAATACACTTCCACTCCTTAGTCTATCACCTTGGCCTCATCATCTTTATTTTAAAATAATCTCTATTTCATTTTATCTATAATGTAGAACATATTTTAAAAGGCCTACTATAAAGACTTGTTTGGGGGTTTGGGGGCCACACTCCATGGTGCAGAGAAGTTTTAGTCCTGGCTTTATGGTCAAGATTATCCCTGTCAGTCACATATATGGTGGTAGGGTTTCAATCCTAGATTACTGGGATGCAAGACAAACACCTTAAAACTTTGTGGTACTATTTCACCCCACCTAGACTCTATAGAGTATACTCTATAGACTATACCATCTTTCTGGCCATTTCTACTCTGTAGTTAGTACGTTGTTACATTATATTTATTTGTCCTATTTTCCACCAAGCTTCAGGCCACTTTCCAGACCGAGGGGGCCTACACATTATAAGACACTTGCTACCCATTTTCTACAATTACTACAACGTATTTGATGGGGTTCAAACAGTAGGGAACAAATCATAGAGAAAATATATAAATATATGCCTCTCGAAGAGCCCGGCAAGCTACTGAGAATATCCCGCCCACACAGGCAGAGCCTGGCAAGCTCCCTGTGGCGTATTCGATATTCCAAATACAGTAATGACAACAGGTTTCATTCTTCTGACCCTGAAAGAGTCTCCAATCGTTGGGAAAAAGACGAGTAAGAAGAGGCTGCTAAAATCTCAGGGCTAGGAGGAATAAAGACGTCACTAGCGCCCACTCGAGTAATTCTACAATCAACGGGATGACAGTGAAATAGTGACAGTCCTACTTCTAATTAATAAGCCTACATCACATTTTTGTACACTGACTGTAATATTCCTCACTAGGATAATCCAGTTATATCTGCCATGCCTACTTCTTGCTCTTTTCCTAGTCATATAATCAAATCATAATTTCAATTGTAGGAAACAAGTTATAATTATAATTGTATAACTATAATTCATTAGATACATATGTTATATTTATCTTTTTCTATAATTGTCTCAATTTAACACACATTTTAATAAACCTATTATTAATTTTACCTTCATAAAAATTCTTCAGAGTTACTAAAAGTCAATTAGTAGTTGTTAAAGAAAATACTCAATTTGCCAATTTAGTCATCCCATTTCCCACCATTCCCATGCATGGTCTCTAGTCCTCTAATTGTTCTTTCTCATGACTTCCCTTGAATATTCCTCTCTTCATAGCCTTTTCTTTCTCAAATGTTACTTATTGTGAGAATGAAAAGTAGTGTGACACCTGTCCCAGGACACAGACACTTTAAACACTAAGTTCATTGACTGAAATGTAAGGACATTTTACCCCACAGAAGGTGGGAAAATTAGGGGTAAGGAGATATCATTTATTAGCCTAAACAGCCACCCTATGTCATTGTGTCTGGATTACTATTTTTTTAGTCTCACAAGCTCCATCATGTAGATTAACTTTTCATAAGGATCCTTCCTTCTTCAGGCTGATGCTATAGTCATTCTTAGTTACAGGAGTATTCAAATGAAGATTGATCTCAAATAATCTGTACACTCTGTACATTATTAATCCTGCATTAAGCCAAATATTTTCTTGAAATGTAATTTATGTTCAATATGTTGTTTTTTCTTGTTGTTAAGGTAAATTATTAAATATTTATAAGCAATTGCTGTCACTATGTCAGAAATATAATATTAGGAATTTTATATTCTTTCTTAGGAAAATAATTATGTGATAATTTGTAAAGCAAAGCTAGCTGGTTCAGAGTTCCTGCTTATCTGTTTTTACAAGAACTATTGTTTTAGAGAAAACAAAATATTCTAACCAATACATTTTGAAAACTTTTTCATATATACTAAATAGTTCAACAGCTGAAGACCTCCGGGCCCCAGCCAAGGCCATGCTGGGACCACTCTCCACACACTTGGATGATCCTCACGCATAAAAGAACTGGCAGAGGAACCCAGGTGTGTGGGACCTGGGGCTGAGACCTCCAAACCTGCACGGTTTGGGACTGGACCTGCCAGTAGCTAGACAGTTACACCCACCAACTGCCGTGTAATCCCAACAACGGCCAGGATCCAGAGATTATCACATTTAGCTCCTGGAAGCGCGCGGCCACATTTGCGGCCACGCGACATCTTATCATCTCATTCCTACTTTGGACAAACTGGCAGGCTACCGAATGTAACCTGCCCACACGGCAGAGTCTGGCAAACTCCCCGTGGCGTATCCAATATGCCAAATACCAGTAACAATGATGGGTCTCATTCTCCTAACCCTGAAAGAGCCTTGAATATGGCACTGTTTTTAAAAATCTCAGGGCTAGGATGAAAGGAGACGTTACTGGGGCCTGCTCAAGGTAATCGACGAACAACAGGATGGTCGTGATCGTGATCGTGATTAAATAGTTCAGACAAATTGCCACTGACAATAATATCAATCTTAACTGGATTTCATAGTGTTATGCTATCTCATTCTAAAAGCACCAACAACCAACAACCGGGGCTGGAGCAATAGCACCGTGGGTAGGGCGTTTGCCTTGCATGCGGCCAACCCGGGTTAGATTCCCAGCATCCCATATGGTTCCATGAGCACTGCCAGGAATAATTCCTGAGTGCATGAGCCAGGAGTAACCCCTGTGCATCTCTGGGTATGACCCAAAAAGCAAAAAATAAAAAAAACAAAACCAACAACCTATGGTTAAGGATGGTCCACAGACCACAGAGGAGTGAATGACAACCTATTAAGTAGTGAGACTTCTGCTAATCAAACTCACCATACACGTTCCCTTTCCTACCTGTTGGCAAGGTCAGTTATTCAACGTGAGGTTCTAGCACCAGCAACATGGGAGATATTTACGATTTATTAAAAATGCAACCATACTAAATTAGAATTCTGTGAATGGGACCCAGAGGTGTGGCTTGAAGCAGCTTTCAAACCTCAGGACACATCAGAATCATCTGGGCATCCAATACTAAAATCCATCCTTAATTAAGTAGTTCCCAAGTATTACTGATATTACTAGTCAGACACTGTCTTTTTGAAACCCAAGAGCCCAGGGAAATCAAACTTCAAATGAATTAAATGGGCTACTCTGTGGAATGCAAATACCTTTGTCCTCTGCTTTTGTTTGGAGAAATGCTTTTGGGAAGATGTTTGCATACCCTGGTTGAAGATAATCCTTGGCTTTGTCCGGTGACCATGGGTGTGATTCAGGACCCGGAGCCCATAGGGCCTCAGTTCGCTCTCCAGTAAGGGGAGGTAAAGCCCCAGATGCCCTGACATCTCTGTCCCCCTCTCTTCTGCCCCAGGGGAAGGGAGGGCAAGGGCTTCTCCCTTTTCATAATGTTGCAGATACTGAAGAAAAAAGTTTGCTGGGGCAGGGGTAGGGAATTGGTGGTGTACGGAGGGGAGAAAGTAGGCAAGGGGAGGTGGGATGGAAAGTCAGTCCATAGACATACATCTTCCTGTGGTGTGTGTGTGTGTGTGTGTGTGTGTGTGTGTGTGTGTGTGTGTAGCATGTTGGGGGTTCATACCCAGATATGCTCAGAGGTTACTCCTGGCTCTGTAGTCAAGACTTATTCCTGGAAGGCACAGGGAACCATAAGGGGAGCTGGGAATCAAGCCTGGATAGGCTGTGTTCATGGCAAGGGCCTAGTCCACTGCTCAGGTCCAAGACACACATTTTTTATGTTCCCGTGTAGTTACACAACCAGGGAAGACAGCAGTATTAAGTTAAATATTACTAATTGTTGTTTACCTGTTTTACAGTGCTAAGATAAAGAATAAGATAAAGACTAAGATAAAGCTAATATAGTATCTAAGAGAAGAATTTGACTATTTGGGAAGAGAAGTGATTTTAAAGTTATAATCTGGGGGGCAGTGTGTAAAGCACTTGTATTGCATGTAACAGAGCAGGGTGTTGATTTAGGGTTTGATCCCCCCCGGCACACCATATGAAACAAAATTTAAAATTATAATCAAAGATGATGTTACTGCTGGAACAACACTAGTAAAATTAGTCAGTCAAACAAAATGTTTCTCTTACAATTGAGTAGAATTAAAATCCAGTAAGGAACCTTAAAATCCTAGCGTAGAGAGGCTTTCCTCTCCCTTTCCAGCTATTAAATCTTCTCTTACCCTCTGCTCTTGCCTTCCTTCCTCTGTCTTCAACACAGCTAATGCTCTTTCTGGACTCCTTTCCAGTTCCTTCATCATTTAACCTTTCGCCTTTTCTTCAGCTTCCTTCTACTTTTCAGGACTTTCTGATTATATTGGGCCTGGGAGGATAATGTTGGTGATTTAATGTAGGCTGCCTAGCCATTGTAATTCTACCTGCAATTCAATGGCTTTTGCCACATAGTCACAGTTATGGAGATTAAGCACTGGCTTAATGAACAATACTCTTCTTACTGTACATGATACCAATTAAGCAGTTAAGGAAAAGAGAGAACATTTAGTGCTGTAACACTAAATACATGTTTGGAGTCCCAAGGAGTTATAGTATAATATTTTAAAAGGTCATTAATGGTGATTTGATCATTGGCATCAAAACAAGTCCTCTGATCTACAATAGAATCTATCTCCCTTCTTCTTCCTAATCTCTAAGATTGCTTTACCTTTCTAAAAAGATCACTTTGGGCCCAAATCACCTCCAGGAGGGGCCCTGGAGGCCCTCACAACTTCCAGGTGACCTATTTTGCTGAGAATTTCTTGGAAGGGTAATTGAACTTCCTGAGCACTGCTCGAGGGGAGGAAGGAAGAAAGGAAGGAAGGAAGGAAGGAAGGGAGGGAGGGAGGGAGGGAGGAAGGAAGGAAGGAAGGAAGGAAGGAAGGAAGGAAGGAAGGAATTTTGTGAGAAATTGAGGGCACCTAACATGTTATAAAGCTTTCATTTTCCACCAATGCAATGCAATTCTTGTCCAAATATCACTCTTAGAAAAAACTTTGTTTCAGTTTTAAAAAGTAAAGCTTAAAGTCATTTTTTAAAATGACTTGGAAATGCAAATGGATATAGTTATGACATTCTTGAAGAGGACATGGTTCTACCGAGTATTATAAAACTAGCTCAGATAGTGTTCACTGATACAAGATAGACCAGTAGAAAAAGTAGGGAGTATATAAATAGACCACAGGTATAGCAGGGATATTTAGTTTTAGTTTATGATAAACAAAGGAAGAAAAATATTATTTTCTAAATTAATGTAGATAATGAAAAATTGGATATCCAAAGAGAAAAAATGTAGTTTGCTTCCAGTTTTACACCGTATATAAAGTTGGTTATAGTTAAAGTATAGATATAAATTCAAGTTACAATTTTGAGTGCTAGAAAGATTCAGATATATACTTTATTATTTTCAAAGTGTATCTTCTGAAAATCATGATCAGATACCACAAAAGTGATGACTGTATACGGGTTTCAGAGGACATATTTTGAAACAAGACAAAGTAGACATTTACATTTTTCTAGCACTCTATAACTAAAACATAGCTCTTGACCCATTCCTATAATTAATAGAAATTTTATTAAATACTATTAAATAGTAATTGTCACAAGGTCACAGTTTTGAAAATTTTAATTTGGTGCATTTTTCAAAGAGCATACCTAAAAGTAAGCACATGAGAGATTAGAAACATATTGATATTGTCAATTTTGAAATAGAAAAAAAGGGACAAATAGAAAAGATACTTCTATAGAGCATTCAGATGGACTGAAGTTGTGGACAAAGTGAATGAAGTATGGAAGAATGACCCCGCTGTTTTAAGCTTTAATGAAATCAATAAAAGTGGTAGAAAATAAGGAAGGCAAGCAGGTTTAGGAGTGTTTAAATTTGAGATTATGGTGGAATATCCAAACAGAAATGTCCCAAAGAAAGTAAAGGATATAAGTTAAAAGGATTGGGTCTGACCTCGAATGATGGACTTGATGCCAGTGATGTTGAGTCCATCATTCGATGACACATTGCTACTCACTGTCTGTCCCAAATCTCCACACCCATTGGTTAAATTGCAATTGGTGTGTCATCTGCATAAGCAGATCACTGGACTGGTTTTGGAATTAAGGAAAATGGCAAGGGCTAGTATTAATAGACTCCTGAAGTTTGCCTCTGATTAACTCTTAAGTCACACAGAATATTGAACAAACTTTGAACTAACCTTTTCTTACTTTTTCTTATTACTCTAAAAAGTAGCATGAGAATCTGTAAGGTAGTTCATTTTTTTTAATCAGTTAAATTAATCCTCAATTGTAAAACATTCCTTGGCTCTGATCCCACAGTTGAATACATAACTTTTACAATGGGCTAAGAGGACAACAGTATCGAAGAGCAACTTCTTCAAAATTCCTCTCTTTTTTCTACTTCATTAGGACTAGAATAAAACACTAGATAAATATTCACGATCATTGGCTACCATCCCTCTAACATATGACACCTGGGATGCAAAAAAAATACTCTTTGACAGAATAAAGTTTTAAATAATCCAGATATCAGAATTGTGCATAAGCATAACTATTTATGTAACACAATATCCAATTCAAAACACCTTATAAAAGGCACTCTAATTGATCCATAAAAATTCATGATACCTATATTGACATTTTAATAATAAAGATTTGGAGGCTGGGCAATATTGGTAAATTATTTTTTCCTGTCTATTAAATCTATTTCCTAATTCTCCCTACAATCATTCTAATTTATACACGATCACTGTCTAATACTAATTAAGTAATCTATTTGTCCTGGAGCTATATTTATAAATATTATCTTGGAGAAAAAAATTTCTTTGGCAAGAGAAAAAATCAGATTCATTGTGTCTCCCAAATAGCAATAATTAGCTTTCATAGGTGGGTAAAAGTTAAATAAACATGTTATTTTTGTTATAGCAGCAAAGAATATAAATGTTGACTATTTTTATAATAGGAATAGACTTTCTACAAGAACAAAGAGCAATTTTTTTTTCCCCTTTATTTTATTTTATTTTTTTTAAAGTTGTAGATTTACAATTTTTTGTGCTTTGGTTTCAATTATACAATGATCAGATACCCATCCCTCCACCAGTGCCCATTTTCCACCACCATGGATAATATCCCTCCCACCCCCATCCCCCCATCCCCCCGTCTCTGTGGCAGGGCAATCCCCTGTGTTCTCTCTCTCCTTTTGGGTGTTGTGGTCTGCAAAAGAGGCATTGAGTGGCAAACATGTTCAGTCCATAGTCTACTTTCGACATGCATCTCCCCTCCTGGGAGGATCCTCCAAACATCCTTTATTTGGTGCTCCCTTCTCTATCTGAATAGCCCTTTCCTCTAGGATACCCGGCTGGCCTCTAAGTTATGGAGTAATCCTCCTGGTGCTGATCTCAGCTATTCTTGGGTATTAATCTCATACTTTGTTACTTTATATCCCCCAGATGAATGCAATCTTTCTATGTCTATCCCTCTCTTTCTGACTCATTTCGCTTAGCATGATACTTTCCATATTGTACCACTTGTATGTAAATTTCATGACTTCATCTTTTCTAAGAGCTACATAGTACTCCATTGTGTAGATGTGCCAAAGTTTCTTTAACCAGTCATCTGTTCTTGGGCATTCAGGTTTCTTCCAGTTTCTGGCTATTGTAAAGAGGAAGAGCAATTTTTTTTAAATCACCATGAGATAGTTACAAGCTTTCCTGTTTGAGTTTCAATCATACAATGAGCAAACACTCATCTCTCCACCAGTGCAAATTCTACGCCACCAATGTCCCCAATATACCCCCCTTTCTCACCCTTCCCCTGCCTCCATGACAATTTCCCCCTGTATTCCCTCTCTACTTTTGGGCATTATGATTTGCAATACTGATACTGAGAGGTTATCATGTTTGGCCCTTTATCTACTTACAGCACACATCTCCCATCCTGAATGATTCCTCCAACCATCATTGACTTAGTGAGCCCTTCTCTATTTCAGCTGCCTTCTCCCCCAGCTAATGACACAGTTTTCCAACAATGAGGTAATATTCCTGGCCCTTATGTTTACTGTCCTTAGGTGTCAGTCTCATATTATGTTATTTTATATTCCACAAATGAGTGGAGTCCTTCTACCTCTGTCCCTCTCTTTTGGACTCATTTCACTTAGCATGACACTCTCCATGACCATTCGCATATAAGCAAACTTCATGACTTCATCTCTCCTGACAGCTGCATCGTATTCCATCATGTGGATGTATCAAAGTTTCTTTAACCAGTTGTCTGTTCTTGGGCACTTGGGTTGTTTCCAGATTCTGGTTATTGTGAACAGTGCTGCATTGA